ATTGTTCAGAAGAATAGTATCTATAGTAAAAACTTAAGAAAATTACCAAAAAGTAGGGTAGAAAAAATGGAAGGAATTTTAAAAAATCAATCTGGGAAGAGAAAAGGGTAGGGGAAAAAAGGCAAAGAAAAGTATGACAAAGAGAAATTACTAAATAAGATGGTAGAAATAAATCTAAACATACTAATGACAAAACAAACTGATTAATCTGTTAAAAGACATAGTGTTGATAATAGATTTAATGAAAAAAAAAATCCAGTTATTGGTTATCTATAAGGGAAAAAAAAAAAACATAAGGCAGATTGGATGAAAAGTAAAAGGATAGGAACTCTGAGGTAATACTAATCAAATAAGGGCTAAAGTCAAATCTGAAAACCAATAATGATGATAAGGACATTTCTTTCTCTGCTAAATAACAAAACGTGATCAGTTGTAGATCCAGTGCTAGATGGCTTCAAAACATTCTCACCCAATCTTTGTATGGCTGGGTCCTTCAGGTTTTTGCTTAAATATCAACCTCCTTTTCTTGACAAATATATGATTCTTAACCACCCATTCTATATAAAGTCCTTTGTTACCCTCTATTATGTATCCTATTAATTTCTTTCATAGAATATTTAATTATAGAGTAAAATTACATCTTGAATGATTATTTATCTGTCTTCCTCAATAGACCATAAACACCACGAGGGTAGGGGCATATCGGTTTTGAAGACTCAGTTAACTCTCACTTCTCTCAACATATTGCTTAAGTAAAACTGTAATGAAATTCAGGCTGAAATCCTCTATTAAGGATCTTGAGACAGGATACAGGTTCTAAGAGTGTAAGAGTATAGCAGTGATTTAGTGATGTCTGTCAAGGCAATGGGGCAGGTGTGGGGAGGAGTGGGCTATGTCAGAGATTGCTGAAAGAACTACTAAAGGAATGTGAATGGCTAACTCCAGATGTTACTAAATCTCTTCTAGCTTGAATGACATTTTCTGGTCTTATATATGCTTTAAGCTATCCTTTTATACTTTGCTATAGTATTTAACACAAATCCAGTTCCCTCAAAGACTAAAAACAATGGAATGATGTTGAACTCAGGGGAGCCAACCAAGTGGGTACTGTAGAAAAAACTAGTATACATTTGAGCAGACCATCAAAATCTGTCAGAAAACTGATCGTTTATATTACTGGTAGGTAATGGATGTGAATGGGCATTATTAAGCCCTAACAACAGACCCAGCTGGCTTCAAAGCAAGAAGCTGGGATGAGAGCTGGATAATGTCAAAAGAACATCCATGAAGGAATATAGGTCAGGTTGGGCCTGGTCTGTATGTTGCAACCCTTGCTTCAACTGCAATTTTGCAAAACGTAAGTGAACATATTGAAGATAAAGTTTAAGAAAAAAGGAAAGACACTTGAAAGGCACATGTGTTCCTTTCCCCAACCTCTCAAATATTAGGCATTTCATGGGGGTACTTCTTATAAATGACTTTTTCTTTCCAGTGTAATTTAAAAGTTGGAGAAAACAGCTTTGGTATATATCAAAATACTCTATGTGGAATAAGGGAGAAGCATTATATCTAAATTTCAGAAATGCTGGTTAAACTACTGTAAAGGTAAATTATATACTTTCTTGCCATCCTATAGCATAAAAACACTATTTCTGCTGGAGTTCTTCTGCAGTAATATTAAACCAAATTATTTAAAGTCGTACCATCTGTTTGAATCTTCCTAATCTATTGACTCTGGAAACGTGAAATTATGTTGTGATACAATAGGAAGGGATGGCTTATGAAGCCAGTCACACTGGGTTTGATTTCTAGCTTTGCCACTAACTAAATATGTGACTCTGGGCAAAACCTCTCTGAGTTCATTTCCACATTTGTAAAATGAAAACATTATGAGAGATGGAAATATAGTATAGAGTGCCCTGTCTAATATGATAGACATGTACCTACTGAGCAACTGCAATGTGGCTAGTGTGACTGAGGAACTCAATTTGTAATTAAACTTAATTTAAATTTAAAAAGCCACATGTGGCTTGTGGCTATCGTATTGGACTGCACAACACAAAGCCATGAGGCTTTTAAGTCCTTATGGGAACCAGGAGAGGATATAAAAAAACAACAGTAAGATTCTCTACAAGTTTATCCCAAAAAGCAGTTTACTTGAAATAGTGTTGATAGCCTTTGTGGTCAAGTATATCTGGACTTGAATGCCATGTCTATGTGACCCAAGCCAATTTACCCAAAATGCCAAAACCTCCGATTCTCCGTCTGAAGGACTGGAATACCTACTAACCTCACAGAGGCACTGTGGAGACGATAAATTAATGGATCTGATGTAGTAGGTGCTTAACGAATCTGGTTTCTTTTCTCCTCCCACATTTATTGTTTCTTACATGACCACTTTCCTCACATGCTGACCAAGTGCCTGAACTGTTAACTAAATTTAATATGGACAAAATGCAGTTAATGCTGTTTGCCAACACATGTTTATCCACTAAATTAAATTGTCAATATTTAATTTTTTAAGAATCTGAACTTTAAAAAATGACTAAAAAAGTATCAACAGATTAAAAACCTCAGAAAACAAGCTTTAATTCTAAAACTATTATTGTAAAATGGGAGTAGACACTGGCTAGGCGTAAAAACTAGGTTTTCTGGCTCCCTTAACTCATTCTTTCAAGCTACTAGATTCTTGGGTAAGGATTATTACTTCTAAATGAATTATTCTGCTACAAAACTGCTTAACAGATTTGAGGGTGAAAATAAAATTAAAACCAAAACTGAACTTATATCTGTTTCATAGCCAGAATTTGGCTTTAAGACTTTTGGAAAGTGCTACATACGTCTTTAACATATATCAAGACCATAAGATGACCCAGCAACCTTTAAGGTACCTTTCAATAATAAAATATTCCAAATATCTCTATTAGGCTATTAATCAATAAATACCTAGAATAAAGTAATTGACTATCGCTCTTAGGCTGTTCCTCAGGACCTGGGAATTGGTGGTGGAAGCTAACTTAAAACTGACTTCATTGTTATCAGAAGAGCCTATCCCCACCTCCCTGCTTAAGCCACACAAAAGCTATCTACATTACACCTATGGCTCTTATCTTAATTTTTAATTTCTGTTGCAGAACAGTTTGGAGACTGCCAAACTGTGTCTATGACTGTCTCGCCTAGATATTTTCAGAAAGTGGCAAGGCATAACGCATGAGGACAAATATGCTTCTTTGCACTAAAATTTGCTTCCCTGTCAGTTTAGTTAGGGGTGTCAAAGGCAGGTATTTTAGTTGGGTAAGCTCTACATTAAAAATCTAAACCTGTACACAATTCCTAATCACTGAACACATCTTTTAATATCAATAGGGAAAAACTTTTAACTAGATATAAAATTCTGTGTAAATCCTGACTAAAAAGAAATTTACCATATTAAATTTGTTCTGTGTATTTAAATACTGTACTTTGGCCCCATTCTCTTGTCCCACACGCTTTTAAGTAAACAAAGTATTAACCATTTCAGCTGATATAAGTAGACAGCCATCTGTTTTTCATATAACGACGCAACTACTTTAAGCTATCTACGACTTAGACAGAATGTAGACATACAATAATATAAGCAACAAAGAAATAGTTCAAAACATAAAATCTCCAATTTCTTGTCTCTATTCTGATTAACGATACACCAAAGTGCTTCTAAACTATCTTCCAGCACCAATCACCGGAATCAGAAGTACATATTTGCAAGTTGTGACTAAACCTCATGCAGTAACAGATTAAATCAAAGAGGAAACCAATTTGTTTTTAAGATTTGCTGACCCCCTTGACTTCTTGGTTTGGATGTACTCTTTTTGAAAAAGTTGGTGTAAGTCTCTAATTATATTATTTCTTATTGCAGTCACTTTTTAAAAACGTAGAATAAATCACCACACACCAGGATGCACATTGTTGCTCAATTTTATGGTATACCAACAGGATCCATAAGTCTGAACTGAAGTTTATTAGCATAATGTGAAATGTATGCTAATAGCTACATTGTAAAAGAAGGGTTTGTAAACCAACTATCCTACCTACACAATTCTCTGAAAGCAAAGTTCTAAAAAGCTTTAACTTACAGAACTAGTGCATGGGGGTATGAATTTATAGCTTTTTAACGTTTTTTTCTCAGTGAAAAACACAGTTAAGTCATTATAAACGAGTATTTGAATACCTGCTTTCCTACTATAAAAAAAAGAAAGGAAGGAAAAAAAAAAAGGAGAGAAAAAAGAAATAAAGAAAAAAACCAGACAGACACGTCTGCTGGGTATATGAGCTCCACCCACAAAACTCAGGACGAATATCCTAGCCAGTCTTTCTTAAGATCTGCATTCTGGTCTGTTCTCATCCCACATACATTGTATATCTTGGAAAGACTCTCTATACTAAAACTGGTTAAAAAAAAAAGTCTGAGGTGTTGCTTATATGCCCAAACTTCAGACTAGAGGGCTGGGACTTGGAACTACGTGTAACAACGTGGCCTTATGGGGAGTAGTGGGAAAAGGAAGATCAGTGGCAAAGAGTAAAGAAAGGAAGGCTGTGAATTACGGAGCCTAAAACTTTTGGTCGCTCCTTGAGAAATCTTCCCTCCCTCCTGCCCCGACCTATCTCAGGATTCAGAAAGCACAGGAAAGCTTGAGGGCCAGGCATGACTGGCGATAACTAAAAGGATTGTGAAAAATTCAGCACAAAAAAAGGCTGCGAGGAGAAATGGGATGGAACTAAGAAGAAAGATGAAGACTGCTAACTGGGGCGACATTGGGACCCCGACTTCAGGTGAAAAGCTGGAGGTGCCCGCGGCTGGGGGTGTGTGTTGGGGGCGGGCCGCCCCAGGTGCCGCAGCCAAGGCAGATTTCGATAAGGGTGGGCCAACAAGCACGGTCCCCGGGGCCTCCCTATCAAAAGGGGGCCGCGCTTGAGCAGCCTGGGGTCCCTTTCCTCCTCCACCCCTCCCAACTGCTCCTCACCCGGGCCGTAGAACTTGCTGCCTTTGGTCACGTCGAAGACTTTCCCATTGACCGCGAGCAGGATGCGCGGGGTGCGGGACCCGTCGTACTGGCGCAGCTGCTCCAAGCTGAAGTCCCGCTTCTTCATCCGAGGCAGAGACGCGGCGGGGCTCTCCTCGCCCGCCCCGGACCCGGCGCCCAGACCCCGCCGCCCCCAGCGCACCCACAGCCGGTAGGCCCCCAGCAGCACTAGCGCCACCAGCGCCACGTTCAGCAGCATCTCTCCGCCTCCCGTCAGAAGCGCCAACGCTGCGGCCGCCCAGCCGCCTCCTTCTGCTGTTGCTCCCGCGCCGCCGGGGCTCTCGCTGCTGCCGTCGCTGCTGCTCTCACTGCCGCTCCCCAGGGTGCCTAGCTTCACGTCCCCATCACCCGCCGCCATCACTGCCCGCCAGCGCCTTCCTCCTCGTCCCCGCCCCCTGCCCTCCCCAACCCCACGGCAAGCCACGCCCACTCGGGGGCCTCCCGGCCAATAACGTGAGGGGAGGGGGGCGGGATCAGGCCGGCTCCTGATTGGGTGTTGACGGGGTAACGTTGTCTAGGATCTCTCCCTCCCCTTCCCTTCTTTGGCTGGCCGCGCTCGCGTGCGACGCCCCGCCCACCTCGCCCCACACTTCCCTGCTCTCGCACCGCGCCTCCGCTTGCTGAAGTAGAAGAGCGGGGCGGGCCCGAAGGAAAGATGCTGCGCCGGACGCGCGCGCGCTCGGGCGGGGCGTGGCTACGGCGCGTGCGTGGGCTCCCGGAGCGCCACGCGCTCTCCTTTCCTCTGCAAGCCCTCGGGGAGGCGTGCTCCGCCCCGTCCCCACGCTGTGCGCGTGCGCGTGCGCCCTGGAATCGTTATCCTTCCCGTCCTGGCTCGGCGTCTGCCAACTCCCGCCTCTAGGCGGTCGCTGCGCTCGAGAGCTTCACGTGCGCTCGAGGTGCCGCGGAGGCGGGGCCCGACCGGAACGCCCTTCCGAAGGCGCGGGCTGGAGACTTGTGGGCGGCCGTGACAGACTTTTAACAGCTGGCACAAACTGGTGAGGGGCGTCTTTCTCCCCTGGGGCCGTCGCGCCTGTCCGGAAGCCGGGAACGTGAGCCCCCAGACAAAGCTACTGCCAGAAGTTTCGGCGACGAGCTGGTGTGGAGAGTGCACGGAGCCTGCCCCAGGGTGCTGTCCACCGTGGCACTGGACCGCCATTCCCTGGTGGTTTTGCCCAAGGCTGCTCTTGTAGAATTTTCTTTCAGGTTTTAGACTAAAGATGTCGTTATTACTTAAATCGTACTATCTCCTGTGATAGGGAAGTGGGTAGGATGAAGTGGTCTTTCTAGAGTTTTAGCCTTTCGAGTCCTTAAAATTCAGTTGAAATGTCACCTCAAGCCTCACCCCTTATCTCATGCACTCAACTCGTTTGACTTTCTCCCGCCTTGGTCTGTCCTCTGTCGCTGAGTCACCACCACCCCACCCCCGCCCCAGAATTACTTGCTGTGAACTAGCAGTGTGATGAATGAATGAAGGTGTATCAAGGAAGTAAATAAATTTTCCTTTAATCTGAGGAATTGGGGATGGATGAGAGACCTGGGTAAGCAATAGGGGGCTTATGATAGATCCCAAAGAGTGCTTATTAGGGAAACAAGAAGTGGTTCATTTTGGCTTTAAGTAGTGAACAGCAAAGTCTGGAAAACCAGGTTGTAGTCTTTACTATCCGCGATGGGTTTGTACATTGTATTGCCCAGTTTGAGGAGCAACGGAAGATACTGAAGGGGCAAATGACAAGATCGAAATTTCTCTGGGGAGATTGATCAACCAGATATATGAAGGATTGGAGTTGGAGAAAGAATGGAAAACCAGTTAGTAGGCTACTGTGTTTGTGCAAGAAATGAGAGAAATCAGAACTAATGATGGCATTAGAGCAGGAATCTGCAAACTTCTGTAAAGGGCCAAACATTAATATTTTAGGTGTTGTCTGTCATAATTAATTCTAACTTGTAGTGAAAAAGCAGCCATAGACTATAAAGGAATGAGCATGGCAGTGTTTCAATAAAACTATTTATGGACACTAAAATTTTAATATAATTTTAGGTGTCATCAAGTAGTCTTGATTTTTTTCCAGTCATTTAAAAATGTAAGCATTTTTTTTGCTCTCTGGTTGTACAAAAACAGCCCACAAGCCACAGTTTGGTGACTCTTGCTTTAAGGATACTTTCTTGAGGCAGAGTAAACAGGATATAACAGAATAAGTGAGTGACCATATAATGTATCCTCCAATCTGGAATACTTTTAGAAGTGAAAGGGGTCACTATTAATTACACTGGGAGAACAGGAGTAAAATCACCTTGTTATCCCAGGCATATCTGAACGAGTGGTCATCCTAAGGTTACAAGTTAAAACTGCATTAGAACTTGGTAATAGGAAATGGCCGTATTAGTGATGGAAATAGGACAATTGGGAAGGAGCTAGTTTGGGGGGAGAATATGGGTCTAGCAGTCCCAGGTGTCATACAGTTTGGACAAGAACTGGCAGAAAGAAATCACACCAGAGGCTTCATAGCAGACCGCTCTGTATCTTGTTGGCTAGAACTGGATCACTAGCTATTCCCTAAAGCAGTAACTGACAAAGGGCATGGGACTGCCAGGATTGGTTAGTGTTTACTTGGCTTTTGGCAGTTCTTATGCAAGACTGTGGTGTGCATTGCCAGACCTTTAACATCATTAGTCTCTTCCTATTAAATGTCAGTAGTGCACCCCGGGGTTTGTAACTCCAAAAGAACAGCCGTCTTCTCCTCCAACCCATACATACTCCTTAGATGATACTGGTTGAGAACCACTGGCTTAGACCAATCAAGATTTACCTTGGAGCTGAGTTATGTGTGTAGGTTTCATTTCCCCGATCAATATGGAAGAAAGAGAGGAATTGAGCAGTACTGAAGTTTTTTTGTCAAGGGTAGGGGGAATGTTGGGTTGGTAACCAACATTGTCTGCCATGGAAAGTAAAAATTTAAACATTTTTATACCCTTGATAAAATACATATCAATTTTTCTACACTTGAATCCCTTCCTCTTTTTAATTTTTATATATTTTTTAAACTGTGCAACTTTTTCTCAGTCCCCCTGAACTGGTCTAGGAGGGACTGCTTCCTTTTTTCCCCACTAGGTAACAATCTCTCCCAGTAGGATACTCCTGCTTTGAATACTGCAGTAACTTTCTGACTGGTGGCCTACTCTGTCATTGCCTCCTTTGTTCTTACATGAAGAGACTAGTCCTGTATGTTGATTTCCTTCACTCAAACACCTGTCTCCAGTGGTGCTCAGCTATTTAAAGGAAAGAACTCAGAAATCTCAGATGGCTCAAAGGCCTCCATAGATCCACAAACAGCTCCCCTGCCCTCCCCTTCCACAGCAAACCTAATCCACTTTTTTGTTATCCCTGACACACTGTTATAGTGATACATTTCCCTTTACAATATGTGTTCCCATTTCCCTCAATTGCCGACTTCATTCCCCACTCCAAGAGTTTTCTCATGCTATTTTATCACTGAGAGTGCCCTTCTCTCCTTTCCAACCATCTAAATTGTCACCTTCCTGTTTCTTTGCTAATTTAACCTGTCCCACACCTGTGACTACATCAGCCCACACTGATCTCTTTGAATTTTTATACATTCTTTGCCTACATGACCAATTTTGGCCTTTTACGCTCTTCTTGACTATTCTGTTCTTGAAGCTCTCCTTTGGGTCCTAAGTTTTCTCCTTTTGCCTTTGTAGATGTTCCTTTTCTAACTCTTTTCCACCCTCCTTTTCCTCTTTATATCCCTCCCTCCCTTGCCTGGAGGTCATCTATAAACATCTGTTGTCATCTGTGCTCTTTCTTCCTTGAGATTTCATGTAGGAATGATTCACTTGTCATCTCTATGGACGGAAGGCCTCTCTAGCCCTGACCTGTCTCTAGGAGATATTAGTACTTCGTCACTGAATATTTTCATTTCCTTCCCATGCACATAGTAGACTTGCATTTCCTTTTCAGAATTCAGCATGGCCAATGAAAAGAAAGCGATCTGTGTCACTTCCAAGCAAAAGTGTTAAGAACCTGTGTACAGTTTCTCATGGTCTCTTTCCTTTTGGCACAGTGATGGAATGTTTTAGTTATCTATTGCTGTGTAGCAAACCACTCCAAATCTTAGTTACTTAAAACAAATTATTTTATTATCTCTGTTGGTTTTGTGGGTTGGATGGGCTCATGGGCAGTTGCCTAATCTTGCTTGGCGTCTCTCATGTGGTTCCAGCCAGGTATTGTCTGGGGCTGGAGTAATTTGGAGGCTTGACTGGGATACTAGAATGGCTGAGCCTTTCTCCTTCCCAGTTTTATCTCAGGGCCTCACTTCACGTGGCTTCTCCAGCAGTGTAGGCAAACACTTCCAGGTTTTTGTGGGTCTTAGGCATGGAAATGACACATTCTGTTGGTTAAAGTTGTCATAGGGCCAGCTCAGTTTCAAGGGGAGGTGACATAAACTCTGCCTCTCGATAAAGGTTGTGGAGACGATTGATAGAATTTGTGGCGCTCTTTAACTTACCATACCCACAATGTTTCATATGATGGCTGCTTCCATCAGCCAAGGTCCTAGAGTCAGGACAAAGTGGAAAAGGCCACTGGCTAATACACATGGTGGTATGAATGAGAAATACATTATTGTTGTTCTAAGTCACTGATATATTTGGGGTTGTTTTGTAACAAACAAAGCCTAATCTAAACTAATACAAAAAATGGTACCAGAAGTAAAGCATGGCTGTAACAAAAACCTAAAATATGTCACATTAACATATATAGACATGTTAAAATGTTAGTGGTAGGTAGACAGCATCCAGCTCTGATGCACTTATGAATCTCGCAGCAAATCTAGCTCAGATATTTGAGCTCAATAAATATTTCTTAAATAAGAGAGACTGTTTCTTGTAATTCAGTTCTGTTTCTCTATTTTAGGGGAAAACACTTCTTTCCCATTTTCAGATGTTTCTTGAAACATAGAGGGGGTGCCACTAACACTTGATACTCTATTCCAGTGCTACCAGCAAGTTCCCTGATGTGTAAGTTTGGCACGTGCAGCCCACCTGTTTCCTTTCCCCTTTCTCACAGGAGCCAGGCCACCCACAGAAAGTGCTTTCTGCTCTGCTGCTTTATACTGCAAGTTTCACAGAGTCCTGCCCATTAAAGGAGGCCTGGCATTATCTTAACTAGATAGGCCCTCTAGGGAAAAGGAGCTTTAGTTTTAGGAGCTAAGTTCACTGCCAGGGAGTTACAAAACATGTTATTTGAACTTTAGTTCACAAGAGCAACAGTTCAATGGTGGACATTGATAATTTTGGACTTTAACATGAAGCTGGTACTGATTACTTTGAGCTATCATTTGGAAGAACATGATAATTTCTGAACTTTTTGTTTCTCCTTGGAACATTCATA